TGTTGCATGGATAAATTTTTTTCCATTTTGGCCTCCAATTGTTGCATACTCGCTTCCAACAGCTCCTTCAATTGTTCGAAAGTGGCCATCCTGCAAAAAAAGACAAACTATATATATGTATATCGAAAGGTAAGTGCTCTCACTCTCTCTCACAACTTTCAGAAAGGAAAATCAGAAACAACCACAATCAAAACAGAAGAAGCATTTTGCAAATACTTCAAACAGTACGTAGGAGTTCCTTAAAATGTAATACTCAAGGAGAAGTAATTTCGAACAAAAAAAAAGCATCAACTAGGAAACAAACTAGAGGATTCGACGCCAAACTATAATCGCAGAATGTAAAGAAAGTTTGACACAAGTTCTTATTGCACAATTAAGCAACAAGCTAGAATCGAAATCCCTAGCACATCATTTAATCATGACAATCTCTCCTAACTCAAAAGAACCCCCACAGAAGGAGAGAACTACTTCCTCAAAACTGGTTTAGTGACTCTCAAGTATGATTATCCAAATGATCGACAATGCACTATAACAAGAAGAGAGAATTGTGCTGCTCAATTTGTTTTTTTTTTTTTATTTTTTTAAATGCTCTAGGCTTTTACTTAATGTTTAGAGTGTGCCTTTTTCTAATTTATATTACCATCTTGGCTCTTTTATTGCACTTCTGCCACACTCCTCAAAAACAGGACGCAGTGCACTATAACCAAATTCAAACGCTATTTCAGAGAGCTATTCCAAAAATTAAAATCAACTTAAAGGATTTATCTAACAGGAAAGAAAAGAATCACTCAATAATTCCCAGCCAATTGAGAGCAGTAAATCGAACAATTTGACTGCTCAAAACAGAAAACAGAATGTTGGACCCAAGATTTTCTGACCAAAAACTGTCTTCCAGGTGTTTCTTGAAGATTTTGAGATTACAGCACGGCGAAGCAGTGCTCACTTTATAGAGGACTCGATGCCGATTCCGAAACCTCCTCACAATAGTAAATCGGAGTTCGTATGCAAAAGTTACGGCCAAAATACGATTTACCGACAAAACTTACTAAAACACACTTCTAAGCCCTCAATTCACTCAATTCCATGATCATTTGATGTGTTTAGGCTCAAAACCAACCATATTACTCAATCAAGGTCTAAGAACACTTAGAAAACTACGAACAAAGCTTGTTAGTGCCGGCCAAAAATCACTACTACTTGTGTTTCTTGAGAGACAAATTCAACAACACAACTCATGTTTGGCAACTAACAATGGATTAGAACTAGTTATCATTTCCACTATAGAGAGAATTTTTACAACAACAAAACGGCTATTTCCAGAAACTATGAACTATCTCCAAATAACATGAACTAAACCTATGCTCTAACACAAATTTGATCAAACAGGACATAGAGACATATTATTGAACATGTTGTGAACAAGATAGCTACGAAATCTTATGATCAAATCAACAACCGCTTTGATACCAATTTATGACATGGATTAGGATCATCTCCATGAATCAAACTCAAAAGACAAATATCTAATATATTCGGGAACTTACAAATGACGAATTGAAATCGAAATAGAAATAGGATGAGTCAAATTCCAAAAAAGTAATCACTCTTCTCGAGCAAGCACTTTCGAGAATCCACGGACTGTCCGAGGCTGCCGATGCATCTTCCGTCTCTCACGCAATTGCATCCGAAGCTCAAACAATCGATTTGCACTCTCGGCAGATGGAATCACTCTAACTCTAAGGAATCTCTCCAAAGCTAGGTAAACTCTCTTACAAAATGTTCTCATCTAAGTTGTGTGTCCATCAAGAAAATAAACAAGGCTATATATACTAAATGACAAATTAATCTAAGGCACACATCTTAAGTGGCAAGCTAATCTAAACCACACATTTTGATTAAGATCAAAGGATCACAACCTCTAAGCAAACAAGTAGCTTCGACCGAGTTCGGGTTGCAATCGGTCCATCTAAGTTCGGGTTCGGGTGATCCGAAGCCGTGTCAAACAGACTGTGATATCTAGACCAAGTGTTGAATCCGAGTATAAGCCATGGCGCATTCTGTCTGTGAGATTATTTGGATTCGTCACTTTTTGACAGTGTTGGGAATCCAAATCTCAGCTCCATCACGTTTATGGTGTGATAATTAGGCAGCCCTTCACATAGCATCGAAACCTGTTATTCATGAGCGGACTAAACATATTGAAGTTGACTGTCATTTCATTCGGAAGAAGATCCAACAAAGAGTCGCGATTACAAGTCATGTCAAAACAGTAGACCAATTTGGCGATCTACTGACCAAAGCTTTGCCTAGCCCTCTACTCAAATACCTTTGCGACATTTATGCTCCAACATAAGGGAGAGTATTATATATTGTTTAATATATATTGGGTCTAATTGTATATTATGGGCCTAGCCCAAAGTAGACTGGAATTTTCCACTTATATTTATATGCAAATTTGAAAATGGTGAAGTCTTTGAAGTCCATGGATTCATAAGTACAATTTCCTTGTATCCCCAACAAGAATGTCAAAATTAAACCATTAGCTATACGTAGTAGTAGCAGTTATCATAACTCTATTATCTAAAACAGTTGTTCTAAGGGTTTATTCTTCTTGTTAATGCATACTCTAGCTTAATTAAACTTATGTGTAGCTTGATATGCATTTGGGATATCAATAAAGAATGCTTTATTGTATGATGGTAGTGAAGTATATTTCTTGGGCTGCCATATATTGTGAATATGTAACCCATATTTTTGAACAAGTCCGAGGAATTTTATTGATATGCTGAGAAATTGTTGGTGAGTTGAAGCAAAATGGTGAAGAGAAAAAATATATAAAGAAAAGTAAGTTGAAGGGTTTAGTTTGTTTTAGGAAACTTGTTATTGGAGGATCTATTTCATATAATTATTACTATTTAGAGTTCTTAATGCAGATAAGATAGTAGATGTGTATATTTGGACAATATTTGTTGTTGGTTGACTTCCGCTTGTACGTGTAATGATTTAATTTTATTTACGGTTCAACAAATCTATTGTCATTACTTACAAAGGAAACATATATAGTTCAACAAATAAAATTGTCGTATTAAGCACTCATAAATAAATCTTATTTACTATTAAACCATAACTGAGCAGAATTTAAGCACTCAACAAATCTATTGCCAACATATAGGTTGTGTTCTTTTTCGGGTTTTAACACATATTTTTACTATTCAAATTCTCATTTCCCTCCAAAAATATCAAATCAAAAAATTACTTTTCTTTTTTATATTATACTACAAATTTATTTTATATTCAAAACATCACATCGACATTTATTTATATCACATCAAACAACTATTCAAATTCAACTTTTTACTATTATGGTCCTATTATAAAAAATTAATCAATTTTAATCCCAATATAAACAAATTTAATCAATTTTGGTCTTATCCTTAAAAATCTAAAGGTAATTGCTGACGTGGATATAACTAAGTATGATGTGGCATCTGAGCTGGACCAACATGGTCGTGTTTAATTACCACACGGCCGTGTTCAAACACTTTTGAGCGTTCTTAACTAGCAAGTTGAATGGGATTTTCTTTTTCAGTCTGTTTGGCTCTGACTGCCTTTATTTTTCTTCACTGCTTCATTTTTTTTTTCTTCTCCTAAGCCTCAGACTTGGTTCTTATACAAGCTTTGGCAGGGGTTGATGGAGTAGTGAATTTACGTTTGTTGAGTGCTTCACAAATAAACTCTTTGAATTCATGAGGCTTTTTTTTTTCCATACGAGATACAATCTGTTTGTATCTATGTTTGAATCATCAGCTTCATTTTTTTTTTCTTCTCCCTAAGCCTCAGACTTGGTTCTTATACAAGCTTTGGCAGAGGTTGGTGGAGTAGTGAATTTATGTTTGTTGAGTGCTTCACGAATAAGCTCTTTGAATTCATGAGGCTTTTTTTCCATACGAGATACAATCTGTTGTGTATCTATATGTATTGTATTTGTATCTGAGTTTGTGTTTGAATCATCAATCAAAATTCATTTAGTCTTCATCAACATTAGACGGAAGCGGGGAATAAAATTAAAAGAAAAAAAAAGTGGGGATAATATACACGGCCATGTTTTATTGAACACGCCATGTTGGTGCAGCTTAGATGCCACATCATACTTCATTATATCCACATTAGTTATTATAGTTAAGTTTTTAAAGATAGGACCAAAGTTGATTAAATTTGTTTATATTGGGACTAAAATTGACAAATTTTTTATAATAAGACCAAAATTGATTAATTCTAATTTCAATAGACTAGTTTTGATTTTTTCCCTTTTTATATATACTTGTAAAACAATAATTTGAGTAGAATTATTCTTGTATAATATTCTACATATTGTCTTCTTTCAAAAAGCATAAGCATATGTTTGATATAGCAAATATACATTAAACAAAGATATAGAGATTGAACACATTCTAGTGGATGTTTTCTTTTTCTTTTTTTTAATATATATATATATATTATTTTAACTCACGGTAGTAATACTTATTGGGAAGCACATGTTAATAAAGTCAAAACATAAACTTCATACTCAATTGACCAACACAAAATGATATTACTAAAATAAATTCATTTAGTAGATACATTTTTTTTAAAGACAACTTCTAAGTTTTGAATGAATATACATTTTTGTATATAGTTTAACTATCTCAGCAACGTGCTTTATATGAAAAAAGGACATTGTTATTATCTTATAACCAATTTTGGAAATGTTAGTACAAAGAAATATGATGTCAGCAACTACACTAACATATAGACACCTATATTTAAATCACCAAATTATCCTCATTAACTACTGCCTGTTCAATAATTGCCACCGAAAAAATGACAAGGAACCACTATGTGTGAATAACTAATATAGGTAGAAAATTCCATATAAAGCTAATAATGTAATTTGTCAATTAATGAGGACACTTTTTTCTCTCTGCTTTGTGATAGAGAGTTTTTCAATTGTCTTCAATCAGGGTCCTGAGGTAAGAAGTGGAGATCTGCCACAACCAATCGTTCTCAAGGAAGGGCAAAAATTCAATTTTACCATTAAAAGAGGTGTCAGTTCAGATGACACTGTTAGTGTTAATTATGATGGCTTCATAAACGATGTTGAAGTTGGGGACATCTTACTGGTTGATGGTGAGTATAAACTTCAGTAACTAACAACATCTGGCGTTGTGAATCATGCCCTTGTCCACTCATTCTATGCATGACTAGAGAGCCCACATTCACCAATCATTTAACAATCTGATACAACTCTCATACATTTTCCAGAACATGCAGCTACTGCGATAAAAGTTTTATTTTGGAATAAAGTCTTAATTTAATCTCTTGTTTATCTTTTATCATCTTAGTGGATTTAAGGACATTATGGCTTTCTGAATGAATAACACTTATAACTGGTTTTTTCTGCACTTTATCTAACGTTTACTTCACTTCTGCTATTGATTAAATCCAAATCAATTGAGAAGAATGTGCATCCCTTTGTTAAGGTGGAATGATGTCACTATCTGTGGAATCCAAGTCAGAGGATGTGGTTCAATGCAAAGTGTTGGATGGTGGAGAGCTGAAATCAAGGCGACATTTGAATGTTCGAGGGAAAAGCGCTACTCTGCCTTCAATCACTGGTTAATGGTGTTTTGTAATCTTAATATTGAGATTTATATTTAAACAATCCAAACGGGGGACGTATTAAATTTGTGTCGGATTTCATATTGACAGACAAAGACTGGGAAGATATCAAATTTGGTGTGGATAACCAAGTTGATTTCTATGCTGTTTCTTTCGTCAAGGATGCTAAGGTGGTCCATCAATTGAAAGATTATCTCAAAAGTGGGTCCTCTATCCATTTCACCATATAGTGTAATGAATATTTGTGCATTCATTTTATTATATTTACCGGATGTTAAAACATTGTCTGAAGGTTGCAAAACAGATATTCATGCAATTGTAAAGATTGAAAGTGCTGATTCCATAGCAAATCTCCAATCTATCATTTCTGCATCTGATGGGGTAAGGGTATTGGAAATGATAATTCCACCACTAGTTTTTCATTCTATAATTCTAATTATTTTGATACATTAACCTGTGTTTAGACAAAGGTGGGGATAGCCAAATTTATGCTATGCTTAGAGTGTTCCCATAAATGCGCATGATTTCTCTAATTATTTCTAGTATTTGTTTGACATAAATTTTTATCGTATGCTAAAATGTCGATTGTATAGTTTTCAAAGGCTACATTATTATTTTATCAAAACATATATACTTGTGCATGTGGGTTAAATAGTCAACAATATATTTTTAATATAAGTAGTAACTAATTTACAAAAACAATGCATAACACAAGTACTATACAAGTTTGTCAATATAGGAGGAACTCTGTCATTTAGCATCGCATCTCAAATATTAATTTGTGATGGCTTGGTTTTTCCATGCATTAGGCATCTCATCATAATTATGCAAACCAGATTATTTCTGATTGAGTAGAATTATTTGAGTTTTGGTTAACAAAATCAAGTATACAGTTGAAATATCAATGTCATCTCATAAAAATTAAATTTGATCTATATTGGTGTTACAAAATATGTTCCATATGAAAGGTGATTAATGCACTTCAAAATTATCAGGGTTTTGTGTTTTTAGTTGCAATTTATCATTATCTTTAGCTTCGTTGCAGAGAATACCAAAGTTAACCAACATCAATTTACATTATTTTTCTCAGTTCATGTCAATCAATCATATTCCACCTGTTACATCTCTTGTGAGATGCATAACAGTATTTTTGAGGTGCACTATAATTATGTTTCTTTCTCAGTGAGAACGAGGGCTTAGCAACCTGAGGATCTATCTATCTATCCATTTTTATTTTTCTTGCTTAACAAGTGATGGAAATTCTTTATGGTATGTTGTCATTGATATTTTCCTCCACCTACTTGCATTCTAGTAATTACAGAGTGGCAGGTAGTATTTTCTTGTTGAATAAATTTCCAGACTGACATTCCTCTGGAATTTGACAAGCTACTGTCCTTCATTCTTGTATCATTGTGGCTTATAGTGTTTTTAACTCATGATCATTGAGGTGATAGGCGATGGTGGCTCGAGGTGATCTTGGAGCTGAACTCCCAATTGAAGAAGTCCCTTTGTTACAGGTACTTGGCATTAGAAGATTGGAGCTACTATAAATTCTTTAATATTTGCTTCCCTGCTCGGTGGCATTGATGTTAGGAAGAAGTAAATCACAGGATAGTACACTTCAATAAATGGAGAAAGCAAAAGAGGAAATCTTAAAGAAAAATGAAAATGAAAAATTTCTGTAATGTGATACCGAAAGAAGTAAATGCCATTTAGCATTTTCAAGAGTGCATCGGATAGGCATGAATATGATATTCAAAATTCTTCATATTATTAAGAATGGAGTCATACGCTAGGGCTGGCAATAACATTTTACCTTGTATACAGGAAGACATCATAAGAAGGTGCAGAAGTATGAAAAAGCCAGTAATAGTGGCAACAAATATGCTAGAAAGCATGATTAACCACCCGACTCCTACGAGGGCTGAAGTTTCTGATATTGCCATCGCAGTACGTGAAGGTGCTGATGCTATAATGCTTTCAGGAGAAACTGCTCATGGAAAGTAAGTTGCTGTTATATTTTAGATTATGTTCTCATTATTTTCAAATGATTGGAGTATATTTATTAGGACAATGTTTTTAAACACTATTAATTTCCTTTTACAGTTACCTTTATTGAAACTTGAAGGCTGGAATACTTGTCATATTTTATTTATCTTTGAGACACAATGTATAAACTCATACAGATGCAAGCACACACTCATTATCATTAGGATTTGAATTCTTCACTTGAAAGGAGGTATCAAACATTTTCAACCACTATGTTGTGTTTGCCATCCTGGAATAAATGCAATGCAAGATTTGAGTTCTTTTAGATATATATTGTTTTTGCTGTCTACTGGAATTTGGGACCATGGAGAGGCTCTCTTACACAAGGAGTTTCCCTGCTGTTCAGTTTCCCACTTGGCTACATGAACTTCTATTTTTATTTTATTTTTAATTTTCTATTTAAAGTACTTAGAATTCAAGTAGGCTATGGAAACCCCTCAGTTTCCGATTAACTTAAATATCAACATTTTATTGCACTATTGACTTTGAAATAGGAGAGATAGATAAATCATTATGTTAATGTTTTGATGTCGCACTTGTTTAGCCCTACATGTGTGACTCACCTATGTTCGTAGTCTCTGCCAAAACATTGAGACAGAGTGAAGCTTTACCATGCTATGGATGAAATGTGTTTATCTTATAAAGTATAAACACATCATTTTTGCTTTGTAATTAGATTTCCCTTGAAGGCTGTTAAAGTGATGCACACCGTGGCATTGAGGACAGAGTCAAGCTTACCGGTCACTTTTAGCTCACCGGGTGAATCTTCTGCATACAAGGTTCGTGTAGCTTTACTTTAGAACTTTCATTGACAATCATATTAGGATCTTCTGCATAAAATATTCAGAGATTGCATAGTACCATCTATCTCCTCTTCTTTGATCTCAGGCTTCTCCTTCCTAGTAGGATTTTGTTGGCGAAAGCTATAGTTTCTACAATTTTCCTGCAGTTATAGCTTTAGAAGTAAGGTTTACATGCAAGAGCGTTACATTTTTCTAGGATGGGAATATTGGCTTTACTTCACAATTACAATGTTTCCCTTTGATGGCATTTTTAGCTTTTCAAGGGTGTATATATAGAACTCTACTGTTTTGTTGATTAGAAAATTGATCAGTATTTTGGTTAATTTATAAAAGGAGTTACAGAACTTTGAAATGCTGGGAACAACCAAAACCTCATATACACATAAAAATTAAATATGTTTGTTTTTATGATAAATTCAAAATGAGTGACACCCTGTAACTGATCCATCAAAACATTGTTCTGAAGGAATCCAATGAACTAAAACTATACAAAGGCCTGAGTTGCATATAGTTGTGGGGTATTGGCATGGTACTGCATTTACATATAGTACTATGAGCGTCTAGTTCATCTGTTTACTCGGTAGGTTTTTAATAGTTTGTTAGGATTGTGATTTTTATAATCTCAATAAATAGTTTTGTGGTTGTTCTAATTTATAAATAGAATGTTTAATTGGAAAAATATATTGGCTTAGTTTAATTACGTTATAAACTTTGTTTTCACACTATTCATAAAATATTTCCTCTCTAAAAAATACTATATCAAAAGTTTCTATTAAAAATATTATATCAAAATCTTATTTTTTTATTCAAAACATTACATTCAATACTATTTCCATTCAAAATTGTACTGTTTCCAAAACAATTTTAAACTTCAAAATACTTCCAAAACACATCTAAACAAACCCTTAGTTTTCAATATGTTATCCAACATTAAAATTTCCTAGTTTTCTCTTCTATCATTCCGCAAATTCATGGGTTGTGGTGCTCAGTTGGACAAATTTTGTAGCAGTATCATTTTATTTTTCAGTCTTTGTTCTAAGTAGCAGTTGTGAAGGTTTTCTCGTCCCAGTAATAATGGATTTTGCAGTTTATAACTACGAAATATTCGAGTAGTGATTGTGAAGCTTGGGTTTATCTTTAAGTAAATTAAGATTGTTCTTTTACTCAACCTAGTCATTCTAATTATTTAAATCCCTCCTGGTTCTTTATTGAGGGTATATATAAGTAACATATATATATTTTTTAAAATTTAAAATTAACTAGGCAAGGCACAAGACTTATAAATGACAATTGTGTCCCAGTCGTATTAAGCCTCATTCTGTGTTTGAATTTAAAAGATTTCGGGCCTGATCCATACTGATCTAAATTTGTCCATAGTGTCTCTGGTTATTTACACAATTACTTTTAACATGCGAAAAAACTTTAGAGCATCACAGATTCACATACCTGTGCATGGCCAATGAATTAATTTGCACACCGAAGCATAGAATACTAGCCAAATGCTAGAAATGTCTTGCAAAAATATTAAAATAACGATGAACATAATGACTTATTTAGGAGTCATCAGTTGGGTTTTACTATGTAGGATTTCTATATTATATATATATATATCATTGATTATTGTTCTCAATATATTGCCATTTTTATTTATTCACCGAGAAATCAAACATGGATAAATATTTATTGTTTGTTACACCCTAAGGCCTGAAGATTCCAAAGAAACGACGCGGAAAATAATAGGTTTTCCTTTATTTATTTATTTATTATTTCTATGATTTATCTGGAAACTTCATATTTTACAATTTGTGCAAAGACCTCTCTTTTATTTATTTCTTTCTTTGACCTCTCTTTTATTTGATGGTTCTAGTGCTGGTATTACCTTCAATTATTATTCAAGTCACATAAAGTCTCGACTATGCAAAACTTGCAGGATAACATGGGTGATATGTTTGCTCTTCATGCAACCATAATGGCCAACACACTGATTACTCCCATCATAGTTTTCACAAGAACGGGGTCCATGGCTATAACTTTGAGTCATTACCAGCCTTCGTCAACAATATTTGCTTTCACAAATGTGTAAGTTTTTGTAAAATCAAAGTTTCCATTGCCAATAGTATATAATTTAGTAGCATATATGCGTGCATGCTAATATATTATTGCTTCCAAAATTCAAAGGTAAAGTATTTTTCGGGAAATAGGAATACTAGTTCTTTTGTTTTCCAACTTACATACTTGTTCCTTAACATTATGTTAATATCAATGCGCAGGATCTAGGTTGTCTTCGTAGAATTTTTCTTTTGTGGAGAGTCTTTGTAGAAGTTACTTTGTATAATTGTCCAATATGAATACATATTGCATTGGTTGGACCATCTTGGTGATATATTGACAATTGTTGATGGTTTTGGATTGATTTGAGCATATACTAGCATGTGACATGTATTATGAGATGTTTAGGGGATATTGCTGCAGCTATGGTTAAGCTTCTGGCTTATATTGGCGCTGATATAGTGGAAATTGAAGTAAAAATATTAAAGGTGAAATCATTGGGGCCCAAGAAGCCTGAGATTCTACCAGAGCTAGTAAATTTTTGTATACTAGATATATATTATATATATATATATATTCTTATCAAAATGATTTTCTTACTCTTACTAAAAAACTATGTTGTATAGACGTGCTCTCATGTGAGCTAATTTTCTCCACACTCTTGATAGATACAACCTGATATGAACATAAGAATTTTATTTGTATGAACGTAAGAAAGCTACTTCCCTTCAACAATAATCATTAGAATCGTGATAACTCAACTGATGCTGTGATGCAGTCTATCATGACTATTTATGTTTAAGGAGCAGACTCTATTATATCATATCTCACTTTGTAATCCGACACCTTTTTAATAATATCTAATTTTTATTTTTTTTTCAATGTATGATGAAAAAGTGTTTTGACTATTTGGATGTCAATTTCAGCGATAATTTTGCGTTAGAATATTCCATTTCTAGCATTATTTATTTACGAGCATGAGAACTTGTACTCATACCATGCATTGAATCAATTAATTTTGTTGTCTGCATTTGTTCTCGGACTATCTATCTACTTTTTGATATTCAATTTTGTCTAATCTTCAGAGAAAGAGTGAAGCAGCGTCTTATCCTCTATCACGGTGTAATGCCGATATACATGGAATTCACAGATGATGTCGAGGAGACCTTTTCGCAAGCATTGAAGCTTTTACTGGTAATGCCATCATCGCTCTATATTTTTTCAGGCGACTTCGCTTTCTGTGTTGCCTCTACACTGTATGCTAAAGACTAAAAAAAATTCTACTTATTGCAGAACAAGGGCCTGGTAATCGAAGGGCAGTTTGTCACTCTTGTTCAAAGTGGAGCACAACCAATCTGGCGCCGGGAGTCTACTCACCACATTCAGGTGCGCAAAGTGCAAAGCTGACCGTTGTATTAGAAAACCTTTCCATACGTGTATAGTAAAAATAGTGAATCGATAAAACCGGCAGGATTTCAGCTAAAATCGACTAGAGTTGTTTGTAGTTTACTTGCTATAAGAAAAGGGATTTTGTTGAGGTACTGTCAACTGTGTTGAGAAAATAAAGAACTTTACGGTATTGCGCGACACTTTTGAGTTCTTCGACAGGTTGTTTTGTGCAGAAAGTTAAATCAGAATGATGAATGTGAACTAATGGATAAAAAAAATTTGATGTTAGATTGATATGTTCATTTTATAAGCGTTCATTGATTCCTGTATGCAGATAAATAAATATATTAGGCCGTATCTTTTCAAATTTAAGCTTTTAAACAAACTGTTTCTGCTTTTGATTTCTCTTTAAAAATTATATATTTATAAAAATTATCTGCTAAAAATTTGAAGAAAATAAATGAAAATTGAGCAGTAAAGTATCTCTCTAGTTAGTAGTCAGAAGACAAGAACAAATACAAAGGAAAGACTTGAAAATGGCATTGCATACAAAGAAAGATCTTTCATTTTTCACATAATAAAACATACCAAGTGGAAAGATCTTTACAACCTCAGAGTGAAAAAGGCAATAGTAACAACAATAGTCCTTAAAGTTCTCACAAATTAACCTCTCACTCATTGTGTTTTGTCTGTCTATTTTTACGGCTCCTTCGATTTTTATGCATTTTCTTCGAATCCATTCGAACGTCTTCCTCTTATTCAAATCCAACTCCAAATTTAAATTTTCCCTTTACACTCAACAATAATCCTTCTCCTTAACATCTTCGTCTCCGTCGTCGCCGTTCTGTACTCCGGATTTCCCGGAAATTTTCATGCTTTTGTACCACTTGGCGCATGCGACGTAGACGATAAGATCGACCGCTGTAAGCCCGGCTAACAGGAAATAAAATCTGTCGAGATGGCCTTTGTTGAGGTTTCCCGGGATCCAACCCGGCATGTTGTCCGTCGCCGATATTTTCATCACGATCGACACCAACAAACTACTAACGTAGTTCCCGAGCGAAATCGACGTCATGCACAGCGCGCTTCCGAAGCTCTTCAACCCGTCGGGGACCTGCGCGTTGAAGAACTCGAGCTGACCGACGTACATGAACACTTCGGACGCGCCGATCAGCGCGTACTGCGGAACTTGCCAGAATATGCTCAGCGAGCTCGATCCTTGGCAATGTTTGCAGTCTTTTCGCGCATATTTGATCCGGTAGAGCTCGACCGTTCCCGCCGCGATCATCGCAAGTATCGCGATGACGAGCCCGATCCCCATTCGTGGAAGCTCGGTTAGCCCTTTCGATTTGTTCTTCCGAAGCCTTCGAGTAAGTGGGTCGAGCACGCTTCGGTACAAGAATATGAAGGCCGCAACGCTGAGGATGTCGAAGCTCGACATGCTCGCCGCCGGGATTCGGAAGTTCGAAATCTCGTTGTTCATCGCGTCGCCTTGCTCGACAAAGAGCGACGCCATTTGCGTGAACACAACCGAGTAGATTATCGTGCATAGCCATATCGGGAGCAACCGCAACACGCACTTGACCTCTTCGACTTGAGAGATTGGACAAAGGCTCCACACGTTGCGCTTCGCGTCGACGCTCGAATCTCGCTCCGTGCGGAGAGCCGCTCGGTCCAAAAACCTATCGACGAATTCGGATTCATGTTATCGAAACGAGAAAATGTCGTTAACGTTTACTAACTAAACAATGTTCGATCATATCGTGTACCTAAAACCTTGCGTGTGGAGCATTTTCCGAGCGCCACCGTTGGCTTTGCCCATCGTCTCCTCGACGTATAGATTCTCGTCGCCGGGAGTGATCTCGACCCTCCATTTTCTCATTGCCGCGACGATCACTTGGCAAAATCTCGACAAGGGATTGCCGCTAGGCTTGAAGTGTCTATACCTTTTAGTTCTTGCGAGAAACAAGACGAGAGCGAGGAATGCCGACGCCGTCGATGCCCAAAACCCGAGTGCCCAAAGCCCTTCGTCTTCGAAGTAGCCCAAAATGGTGTTCGAGAAGAGTTGGCCGAGATTTAGAGCTAAGTAGAAGTAGCTAAAGAAGGCGACTTTCGAGTAGCCTTCTTTCGAATCCTCCTCGTCGAATTGATCAGCCCCGAATGTCGCGATATTCGGTTGATACCCGCCATTCCCGAGCGCGACCATGTATATAGAAATGTAGAATAAACCGATCTCCCAGCTCGAATGGGATCGACAAGTAGTCGTTTCGTTGCCACAACCTCTAGGCTTGAGCAAGAACATTTGCGTCGTCAACGAGAGCAATACGAGGCCCTACGAGGAGTTTTTACGAGCAGAATGTGTTTAGATATGTTTTGAAAGTATTTTGAGAACAGTAAAACGTCAAATGAAACTTTTGCATCTTTGATTCTGACTTAGATAAGGACTGAACGTGTGATATTTTGTATATAAAATTAATACTGATGTAACATTTTAGATAAAAAATAGGTGTTGGATTTAATATGTTTTGAAATTATTTTTGAATGAAACTTTTGTATATTTGATTCGATTGGATAAGGACTGAATATGATATTTTGTATATAAAATCAATGCTGATGTAACATTTTAGATGAAAAAAAAAAATGTTTGATCTGATATGTTTTGAAAGTATTTTGAGAACATTAAACGTTTAATAAGGACCGAACTAGATATTTTATATATAAAATAAATTACTGATGTAATATCATAAATGAAAAATAGGTGTTGGATTTAATACATTTTAGAGAAGAAGAGTTTTATGGTGAATAGTGCCAAAAGTGAGTAAAAAAACATATGTAAACGGCGAAAAAAGTGAAATGTGATACTCTTACCGCAACAAAAATGACTTGAAAGATGGCGCAAGTTTTGTATCGCCCCCAATACGAGTCGCTTAGGAAAGCTCCGACCAACGAGAATATGTAGACGGTTCCCGTCCATTTGCTGACACTATTGGCGGCGTCGGCATTGTCTTGTTGAAGAACCCTCGTTAGGAATATTACCAAGTTGACGCCGACGCCGAAGAACGCCAATGTTGCTAGGCCTTGATTTACTGCAATTTTTAAGCACTTATGTACATTAAATTATACGTTGATTAATAATTTTTTTTTTTTAATCAAAATTTTTACTATTCGATTTTTATATACTTTTAATAAAAATAATTATTTTTTTTTCATAAAATATCACATTTATATTGCAACAAAAAAATAAATCAAAAGAACACATGCAAAAGTACATCACTATTCAAACATAGTGTAAATATGATGTATCATACGTCGTGCATATACATATATTGTTAAATGCTTTTATATTATATATATTTAATTACATAAAAGAAATTTGTTATATTATAAATATTAACTAATTATCTCAATCAAAAAGTTGTAGAAAAATACGTTATTAATTATATTATATAATTTTCTAAAATTATGCTAAATTATATGAAAATATGTTAAATTATATACAAATTATGTCAAATCATACAATAACAAATATTGAAGTTTAGTGTGTTCGTTGTGTTTTTTCAGAGTTTAATTTATTATTTATTATTTTTTAATTTAAATTATTATTAAAAATTATATTTATGTAAAAATTTAATTTTTTTCCAAAGAACACATTCTCTCTCTATATATAATATATAGTAAATACCAACATATTGGATCGAACTTTTTTTTCATTTTGGTGCTACAGGAATTTCCCACTTAGATTAATTAGTATTTAATTTATTACAAATTTGAAATTAATTAATAATTAGGGAAACGACAAAAATTAAACAAGTGGCTTCTTCCCACTTCGAATCTTCTTCATGCATGGTCGTTTTATGTTTCTTTTTATTTATTTATTTTATTTTTAGGTAGATTTAATTTTTAATATATCCTAACAAATTTAGATATATATACTATAATTTGATCCATAAAAACACCAAGAGAAAATTGTGCAAATTAGGAGAGAATCAAAGGTGCCATCTGTTTTTTTTTTTTTTTTTTAAAAAAAAAAGAAAAAGAAAAAAATAGTAATTTGAACATAATACTTTATATAATACAATATTGTATTTTTATATAAAATCATAATAATGTATATAGCAAGAAAAAATTAAAACCAAACTCTAGAAAAAATTTTAAATGATCAATGTTATCATTCAATTTGAATATTTGATTTATAAAAAACTTATTTTCATGATTTTGATTAATTATGTACATGAATTGTAAAAGTTATTTCAAATGTATTGGTTCAAAAGAACAAAAAATATTACAGCCGAGATGAAATTAGAATCGACTAAAATTTTAAAAATAAGAATGATAATTAACTATACATACATTATATATATATATATAGAGAGAGAGAGAGAGATGAACTTACGGAGTATGACAATTCCGGCGGCCCATGTGCCACTTTGTTTTCGAATCGCGGGTTGACCATGGAAATCAATCGAGCCATCACCCGTGCATCCATCTTGCTCTCCCTTCATCATTGCAATCTAAAACATTCATTTATACAACACATTATTATTATTATTATTATTCTCAAGAATAACATGAAAATTTACTTTCTTGATTCAAATTGCACATGTATTTGGTTAAATTATTCGCATAGCGAAAATGAAAATGCAAAGATGATACTATGGAAATTCTCGAGCATGAAAAGATTAACATTGAAATGCAATCCAATATTATTTCCTATATTTTAAAAATGACACACACACACACGGATACACGTATATAAACTATCTTAGTGAGAGGAAATATTGTATTTTGAAAAAAAAAAGAAGAAACCGTGAGAGTTTCGTAGTAAAAAAAAATTAAAATCGAATTTCAAATGAACAGAGCACAAAGTACATAAGTAAATTGAATTATATAAAAAAAATATCTTTCGGAAATACATGCAAGACGCGTGGCATTTTGATATGTTTTCGAAACAAACTTGTGAAAATCGAAGTTGTACTAAACCAACTTGCAACAGTGTCTGTATATATATATATATATGTTTAGCGTGATAATTAAACATATGTACGTATCAAAATCGACAAGTTTTCGATTTATACTCTTGTAATGTACACTTGTATATATGTATATGCAATTACTTCCAAAGCATAGTAGTGTATATATGTACATACCTCCTTGGACACTTCTAGGGTTTCCATTTCATGTAAGAATTTGAGGAGTTGTAGTTTCTCTCTCAAGAAATTCAAAAATTTGTGGATCAAAAATTGGGATTAATAATTATTGTATGAGTGATGGATCGATTTTAAACAATTGGAGGAGTTATGAATGTATATATATAGAGGTAGGTAATTAGTGGAGTAGTACTTGTCCAAAATGGAGGGCTCTAATTAGAAAGTGAAAATTAAAGGCCAATGGAAAATCTAATAATAATAATAATAATAATAATAATAATAATAATAATACTGCAGCCGTCCCGCAAAAAGGTTGTCATTAGTTTTTTGTGTGTCGATCTTTAAATATTAAGTATGATATCAATGCGTAGTACAAATCAAGAAAAGAAAACAAAAATATATTATTAGTCTCTTAGTAATACATATACAATGATATTTGTCGAGTAAATTATTCAAATATAAGGATATTTTTAATGTTAAGTACAATGACGTAAAAACTAAATGACAACCTTCTTGCGGGACGGAGGGAGCATTATTAATAATAATATTACTCCATTCATCTCACATATTATGTCACACTTTTCATTTTCGTTCCTTCTACATATTATGTCACTTTCTACTTTTATAAAATTATTTTACATTTTAAATCATATTTTAAATTTTATATATTATTTTAGTTCTGTTAAACTAATTAGTTACCTTAATTTTAATTTATAATTATTTGTATTATATTATAATTAATTTTATTAATACATTATTAATTATTTACTAATTTATATGTCTTCTAAATTATCGTATCTACACTATATATTGGACCGAGGGAGTAATAATAATAATAATAATAATAATAATAATAATCTACAGTGCAAGTAATCCTTTTTTTCGAAAAAATCCAACGTAGAATGTCCCCACGCACTAATAGGAAACCTAATTTTCCTGTTTATGTATTTTTTTGTTCATTCGGTGTTTTTATTATTATTTTTTTTTTCGGAGCATATGTTTTTTATGTTGATATTTTACGGGTAAAATAGTTTGTTGACATGATATTTGTATACAAAATATTTATTAAATTTAATATTCTTTAAAAAAAATATTTTTGAAAAAATATAATATTTTTTTCACTCAACAATTTATACACGTAGTTTTTATTTGATATATCATATAAAATAAATTTATATTCATAATCTGACATAAAAAAATACATATTTGTATTATATATATTATTATAATTCAAATTTTTTACCATTGAAAAACACACTAAAATATCAAATCACAACCGGACAAACCCTCGTATGTTCTCGTATAGTTGAGGAAGGCACACTTATATTTTATATATTTATGTTAAAAATAATTATATTGATTTTATTTTTTTATTTTTTTTTTGTTTTTTTTTTGTTTTTTTTTTTTTTTTTTGTCTTTTATGGTTTTGATATTTTTAATATAAGAATAATTTTTATATTATATTTTGTAGAGAGAAAATAAAGTTTAGATGAGATCTACATTTTTTTTTAAAAATAAATATTGAATAGTAAAAATTTTTATTATAAACTTATCTCCACATTTAGCCATTTCGATGAATTCTTGAATAAAGAAGGTGAGTTCGAATTAAGCAAAATTTCGAACGATGGATTATATTGTGTTAGGATATATACAATGATCTTTTTACGGATTAGGAAGTGTAAAATCGTCATTGTGGACAAATTTTAAGCGAAAAAATCGACATAATAGCTTAATCGAGTACCTGAAAAATATAAATATGAACCAACATAACAAAGAAGTAACAAAATAAGAATTACTAGTGTTCTTCTAACTTGTTTATATTAATTACGCTATAATTTTATTTTGTTTACTAAACTTATGTATAATTTATTTATAGTAAATAAATTTATTCACCTAACAATTTTATTATCCATATTTTAACAAATAATAACTAATTTTTCATTATTTTTTTCTACTTATCTATTATTTTTTATCAACTTTTTAATAAATTTTTCATAATATTTTTATTTATTTCACTTTTATATTAATATATTATTATTTTTTAATCTTCATATCCGAGTAAAATAACATAATTATCTCGTACCGAAATGAGTATATATTATATTTATTAAAAGCTGCTTCTTATTGAAATTGGTGAAAACTCAAAGCAAACACAAATAATTTTTTCTCGAATAAAATAGCCTTAGTTATGTGAATTCTACATACGGTTCTCCCGCAATGCTTTATGCGCTTAGGGCGAGCTACAATTGTTATCAATGCGGGTTTATATTGTTGGGACTGGACCAACTCAACACTAGTATGATATTGTCTGCTTTGGGCTGAGCCCGCACGGATTTGTTTTTGGATATTCTCCAAAAGGTGTCATACTAGTGGAGTTCACTTGGGACTTATAAGGTGTCGAATTTTCTTTTGGGTTTGCACCCCAACAATCCTCCCATCCGCAGGTTACGAGGGCGAGCCCACCACCACAACCAATGCCCAATGCCACCCAGTCCACTTCACCATCTAACCTGGCTCTGATACCATTGTTGGGACTGTGCCAACTCAACACTAGTATGATATTGTCCGCTTTGGGCTGAGCCCGCACGGATTTGTTTTTGGATATTCTCCAAAAGGTCTCATACTAGTGGAGTTCACTTGGGACTTATAAGGTGTCGAATTTTCTTTTGGGTTTGCACCCCAACAATCCTCCCATCCGCAGGTTACGAGGGCGAGCCCACCACCACAACCAATGCCCAATGCCACCCAGTCTACTTCACCATCTAACTTGGCTCTGATACCATTGTTGGGACTGTGCCAACTCAACACTAGTATGATATTGTCCGCTTTGGGCTGAGCCCGCACAGATTTGTTTTTGGATATTTTCCAAAAGGCCTCGTACTAGTGGAGTTCACTTGGGACTTATAAGGTGTCGAATTTTCTTCGCAACTTCCGATGTAGGACTTAGGTTTGCACCCGACATATATGACTATTTATGCGAGCTTAGAGTATAGTAATTTCTCGACGGTAGTTATTGTACTAAATTACAAATATTAAACACGATACTCACAACACATTATATGACTACATGTAACACGTTATTTATATTAATATAATACAAATACAATATATAAACGGACAATACACGACAATTTTCCACACAATAGATACTATTACTGATTTCAACACATAAAAAAAATGTCTATACAATACATATATGTTGTGTTAATTGAAACTATGTCGGAACAGTAATATTTTCCGTAGTTCTTTATGCAAATTTTGTGGTTAGAGTTAATCTTAGGATCTATTATTCGCAAATTCCAATTTAGTCACATTCGATGCGACCGTAAGTCCTCATTTTATTCGAGTTATTCACATTCTCCCTCGCCATATTCATTATCCTTTCATTCAAGATGAACCAACTTTACTTAAACAATTCCAAACTTTATACTACATATAGATTTTCGCAAAATAAAATTAATCTTTGTAGAATACAGTGCTAATCCGACGAAGGAAGACTTCCGAATAGTGTAATACTAATTTGCGCAATGAAGTTTTGACCTATTGTTGGCTTAGTCGCGTTGTGGACATAACTTTTTACGATTAATTACTCGCGAAAAAATAGTTTTAAGACAAATGATAATCAAATACACCTATGTCATCTTATGTACTTGAAATTAATATTTCATATGCTTTTATACAATATATTGTATAATTATGGACCCTTATGAATAAATTAATATATATATGTATTGCATAAATTAGTTTTGAGTTATAGTGAAAACATATCGATCATATGTAATTGATATATTCAATCATTTAAAACAATATAAGAACAATATATATAATGTGTTTTAATAAATACTATCAAATCTATAAGTGTTTTTTCTTTTTTACAAAAAAAAAAAGAAAAAAAATAATATGCATTTTCTTTTTATGTAAAATAAGTTCTTACATTTTTTAATTTATTATCTTTAAATATTACATTTATTTATAAATATATTACAACTATTTATACATTAATTTTTTAAAATATTTTTATTTTATGTCACAACCAATTATTATAATTTTATATTTATTAAAATTCGTGTCTAACTCAATAAACATATTTTTATGCCGACAAATGATCTTTCTTAATGTCGTAGAGACACAAATTAAGCTATTTTTCTTTTAAAAAAAAAGAAAAAAAATTGTTCTTATTATTCTATCTATCACATCTTTCAAATTTTCCATCTACAACTATTACTAATTAGTATATATGGTATTTTGATGCATCCTACCTATAAGGCTATAACCACATATATAATCAAATTTTGATCATGTTATTTATGTACTATTAATTTTTTAAAAAAATTACATGCAATCTAATATAAATTAAAAATATTATGTAAACATATATTTTTTTATTGAAAAAAATTAAACTCAATATTATTTTTTTTCCTATTTTCAAAACAATCTAAAATACTAAAATAAATTTTAAAATATATCTAAATGAAACCTTAAAATATATAAATAAATAAATTATTGAATAACTTTTGATTTCATATTTTATTAATGAGTTTTGATTTGAGAAATGTGGTATTTCATTAAAAAAAAATAATATTTCTTCAGTCCGGCTCTAAAAGTCTCGTTTACCTTTTGCATAATTTTACTTAACATTAAAAATATTCTTATATATATATATATATATATATATTTTTCACAAATGTCATTATAATACTCCCTCCGTCATTCAAATCTATGCTCACTTTCCTTTTTGGGTTGTCATTGAAAAATATTTTTGTTTCCTTTTTTTAAGTAAAAAATTATTATATTTTTGTACATTTTTTTACTATAAAAGGAAAAAATAATCATTATTACTCACTTTTATTAAAACTCGTGCCCGGTCAAATGAGCACACATTTGCATGACGGAGGGAGTAATATTTATAAGACACTAATAGAAGTATTTTTGTCATTTTCCCTTAATTTAACTTGTACTATGTTTTCACATTCAATAATTATTTAATTGATCGAAGCCAAAATAAAAACACAAAACAACACAAATCCAAATTTATGAAAGGATTTTTCACAAAAATAATAAATAAAATATAATTACTTAAAAACATAGGAAAAATAGCCACATTATTTATTTATTTATTTTATTT